AGGGATATCCTATAATATCTATAGTGGTGAGCATTCTCCCCGCGGTGCGCCACTTTTTTTAAAAAAATATTATACCAAAACACAAGTTCGCTCCCCACAAAGCCCCCCCGGCGCCCCCACAAACAACCCCCAACCATAAAAACCCCTTAACAAAATCCCCCCCCCCAAACAAAAAAAACCAAAACAACAACCACCACCACCAACAACAATAAAAAAAAGTCGTGCTCATCCTCAGGTATATTTATTCTGCAGGATGAAACTGAATACCACAGCACAGACTGATAACTTATATTTTCTAACCGCAGCATACAGAGATAAATACCTGTTATCTCGTTGAGTGAGGACTCACACCGCTCACAGATGCACTCTTTCGGGGCAAACTAAGAAAAAAAATTAGTATAACTTCCTTATTCATTACGCATTTTTCTATTCTATTTTCTTTGTCTCATACATAAAATGGGGCTCTCGTAGAGGTTAAGGTGTTGGCCTCTCATTCAATAGGTTCCGGGTCGAGCCAGGATAGCGACGGAAATTTGTCTTGTCTAAATTGTCTCCTTTCACCTCCTTTCCTGCTCTCTAGCAATGTTCTGTCGTCTGCTATCGTCTCCACTTTCTGCCCCCCTCCCCTCCACCTCCTTTGTCCCCAACCAAACCAAAACCAAACAAAAAACAAAAAACAAAAATTCCCAACCCCTAAAAAACAAAACAAAAATAATAACCACCACCAACAACAACAACTATTTTTAAAAAAAGGTCGTCCTCATCCTCAGGTATATTTATTCTACATGATGAAACTGAATACCACAGCACAGACTGATAACTTATATTTTCTAACCGCAGCATACAGAGATAGATACCTGTTATCTCGTTGAGTGAGGACTCACACCGCTCACAGATGTACTGTTTCGGGGGCAAACTAACAAAACGAATTAGCATAACTTCCTTATTCATAAAGATTTTTCACTTCTATTTTCCTTGTCTTAAGCATAAAAGGGTGGCTCTCGTGGCCTAGAGGTGAAGGTGTTGGCCTCTCATTCAATTGGTCCCGGGGTCGAGTCCGGATAGCGACGGAAATTTTTCTTGTCTAAAGTGTCTCCTTTCACCTCCTTTCCTGCTCTCTAGCAATGTTCTGTCGTCTCCTTTCGTCTCCACTTTCTTCCCCACCCCCTCACCTCATGTGCCCCCAACCAAACCAAAACCAAACAACCCCCCTCCCAAAAAAACCCTACCCCTAAAAAACAAAACAAAATAAAAACAAAAATAATAACCACCACCACCACCACCAATGACAATAATAAAAAAAAGTCGTCCTCATCCTCAGGTATGCTACAGGATGAAACTGAATACCACAGCACAGACTGATAACACATATTTTCTAACCGCAGCATAGAGAGATAGATACCTGTTATCTCGTTGAGCGAGGACTCACACCGCTCTCAGATGTACTCTTTCCGGGCAAACTAAGACAAAGAAGCATAACTTCCTATTTCATAAAGATTTTTTCAATTCTCTTTTCTTTTTTTTTCTTTAACATAAAAAAGACAGGCAATAAAATGCATGCTATGTCACATACAGATTCGTGTTTTTCAAGTGAGTTTGGAGGTTTGAAATAAGCTGCAACATTTCCTTTTGTCTGTTGATCTGACTAATAACAATAATAATAAATAGCGTCTGTATAGCGCATACCCCCGCTCTACAGCAAGGTCTATGCGCTTTACATTATATTATTATTACTACCCCAGCAGACCACAGAACACCCAGAAACATTCTCAGCTTCCCAAGAAGCATACAGTGCAAGCAGCTGATTAAGCGCTCAAACTCTAACAAACTGACAAGATCTTTTACTTTCTGTAACTGGGCACCCATTCCCACCTGGGTGAAGTGAGGAAAATGTGTGTAAAGTGCCTTTCCCAAGGACACAACGTCAGGTCTCTGACGGGATTCAAACCCACGACAAAACGGTTGCAAGTCTGAGAGCCTAACCACTAGTCCACCGACGCAACGTCATAATCCATATTGTTGTATTATATACCCTCTCAAACGTTAAAGAGTTAATATTAAACATAGAGGAAAGTTTAAAGGTACGACCTTATAATCCGAGGGTCAGTATGTGGGGGCTGGATTCTGTCAGGTCTGACGTTAAAGAGACTGGACAGGTATTTCTAAGGTACAGATAGGCAGCATGTCTGAAGATAGTGCCTGGGTTTGAGACATACACACATACGTTTCTGTGTTGGTAGTAAATACTGTATATGCTTCATGTAAATGTATATATGAGTGTGTGCGTGCGTGTGTTTATGTGAGTGTGTGTGTGTGTGTGTGTGTGTGTGTGTGTGTGTGTGTGTGAGTGTGTGTGTGTGTGTGTGTGTGTGTGTGAGTGTGTGTGTGTGTGTGTGTGAGTGTGTGTGTGTGTGTATGTGTGTGTGTGTGTGTGTGTGTGTGTGTGTGTGTGAGTGTGTGTGTGTGTGTGTGTGTGTGTGTGAGTGTGTGTGTGTGTGTGTGTGAGTGTGTGTGTGTGTGTATGTGTGTGTGTATGTATGTGTTTGCATGTATGTGTGTGTGTGTGTGTGTGTGTGTGTGTGTGTGTGTGTGTGTGTGTGTGTAAAAGGGAGGGGGTGAATGCATGAAAAATGTCCCACTTGAACATCTGTTGGAGGACCTCTGTATTCCAGTGTCATATTTGCCGTGGTGGCTTTGTCGTAAAGTTATGCTTTTTATTTAATTATATCCTGTGTTTAATGCAGGTGTTTTTACGCCTCTGTCCATGCAATGTTAAATCAATTCTTGCTTTACCTTGCCATGTTGGTATACATACATATTATACATATACATATACATATTATTAATATTAATATTCTTCTTATTATTATATAATAATAATAATAATAATAATATTATAATGTAATAATATAATATAATTAATATTAATATTGTTATCAATATTATTGTTTTTATGATTATGATAGTTATTATTATTATTATTATTATTATTATTATTATTATTATTATTATTATTATTATTATTATTATTATTATTATCATTACTACTACTACTACTACTACTACTACTACTTCTACTACTATTGTTGTTCTTGTT